GACCCGAACAAGGGGAAGCTGGGACCAAAGAAGGACCGTATCGAGTCGTTGTAATTACCGGCAAAGGCTCATACAAGCTCAAAGCAGGAAACAATGTGCAACTACTGAACAACTGGAATGTAGCTCACTTAAAGCGGTACTATTGCTAAGGTACGATCTCAATTACTCTTTAATAATATTTTGAATCATACTAACACTTGCAAGCAATGGCCAAGGGAGAATGTGACTATTAGGTCTGAAAGCGCGCGTTGCACTCTTTCCCTTGAACCGATTTTGTCCCAAAATGAGTTTTTCAGCAAGGTATTTAACGAGGCAACAGTAAATTGTGCTAACTTAGGTTCGAAGGCCGGTGTCAAACCGGAATCAATGGGCGCATCAATAGTATCCAAGCCCTCTCAAGCTCGACCTCGAATACTGGGGGTCATCACCCTTGGCTTATGGTTCTTAGCAAGGAAAGAAGGACACTTCCTACTTGAGTAGTTAAGGCTTGGTTGTTAGAATACATGGTAAGGTCCAAACGGTCGTAAGAATCGTGCCCACGTAGCCCACCTTATCCATGACATGAATAGTTATCATGTACTTTATACAATGAAATGAAAGAAAGTCCTGCCTTGCTATTACACATTTTTCTTGCCTCTTAAAATCCAGATCCTATGAGCCCACGGCTACCCCTATTCGGGGACTATTGAGCCCAAGGGCTACCCCTACTCAGGGACTATCATCCGAAAAAAGTTTGGATGAACCAGGCTACCAAATTCCGGGAGCACCAAACCTATTGGCGTCACCCAAAAACAAAAGGCTACGGCCTCCCAAAAAATAGCTCGGAGACACCCGAAGCTCGTAATCAAAAGTAAGGCCTTTATAAAATTCAAAACTTGTTAGAAGGTTACCCTCGGCAAAAGCATTGTCTAAGATCAGTTAAGCATCTTGGAAAAACTTCCGGTCACACCGAGTTTTCAAAAACTCAAACAAACAAAGTTGTATCGAAGTGGGCTCCATTCGAACCACTGAAAAATGAACACCCTATAACTACATCTAAATTTATGCTAGGCATTAGAAACGTTGCAAGGATAGTAATTATGAAAAGATGCTGAAAAATGTAAGGACTCGAAATTGCCATAATGGGAAAAGTTTATATATTCTGGGATATACTTACAAAGGCCCAATAAAACTGGCCTCAAAATAAACAAAAAATGTACATAAGTCAAAACTAAAAAAGTACTAAGGCATTTATGTCTAATCTTCACCAGTGCCCGACTCGTCACATGAGCCGTCAGAACCATCCGAGCCCTCGGCACCTTCAGGCTCATACAGGTTCCTCGCCTCGGCTTCAGATCTTTTGGCTTCCTCAATATTAGCAGACAGGTCAAAACCTCGAGCGTGGATCTCTTCGAGGGTCTCTCTTCGGGATAATCATTTCATATATTTGGCCTTTTCCTGCAGGGGGGCCTTGGCTGCTTCTACATCAGCCTTATATTTGGACATCATTTCATCGACATCGAAGGAGGTTGTATCCAACTTGGACTTCATTTCCTTGTATTCTCTACCGAGGGTGTCACTCTGCGACAGCCGAGCTCAGTTGTGCTCGGAGATCGTCATTCAGCTGGGACCGCTTGTCAGCTTTCTCCTTCGCCACTCGAAGTTGGATCTCTACCGATGCCAGTTTCTCCTTGGCGGTTTCCTTCTTCGAAGCCAGCATGTCCATTTTGCTTTTACACTCATCAGCCATGGCTTGGACCTCGTTTATCTCGACTCGGAGTTGGTCGATTTGGTCGATCATTTGCTGGACCTGCGAGGTTTTGTCGTTGGTCACCATAACTAGCTCTTCATTTTTAACTTCAAAGACCTTTACCTTTTCTACCAAGTCGGCATGTTCTTGCCTCAGGGTCAAAGCTTCCTTCTGAGCCCTGTCCAACTCGGCCTGAAGGTCCTTGACGGCTCCGTCTTGTTGCTCACTGAGGAGCTTGTACCATGTCCTTTTTTCAGGCGTGATCCTTGAGCTCAAACTCAATCTGGCAAGGTACCAGATAAAACTCTCGCGGTGGAGCATTGAGGCCTGTAAAGAAAAGGAATTAATTAAGAAACATCAAAGGAAAATGTTAAGTAATTCATAAGGGGTCCTAGAAGGTGTTAGAGCCTTACCCGGTTCAATGTCTGTTGTGCCTCATTAAAGAGGCTCGACATGCCTACCTCGTTCATCTTTGCCTAGTCCTCCTTGGTTACCATAAATCGGAGGTAACTGGACATGCCTATGGAGCGGATAGAATCCGGGCATCCTCCGGGACCGTGAGAGTGACGTCCTCTTGCGAGTCCGCGCTCGGCGCGGTAAATTGCTTCACTAATCGAGTGGGATCATGCTCGGCCCACCAGCTCTCGAAGGCACGTCCTCATTTGGTATCTCCAGGTGGCCCAACCTGGAGGAGTCCTCTAGTGTTGACATATCCATACCGTCGAAGAGGGAGTGGAGAGGGTCCTCTGCACCTTGTGCTCCTTCACTTGATTTCTCTTTGCCTGCTTGGGCCTCTTCCAGCATAAAATTGGTGTAGGAGGGCATCTCAACGATGTCAATCACACCAGTAGCCTCCTTTAAGGCAGGAGCAGTTTCTAGAGAGGTCGCAGCCTCCATCTCAACCCCGGCTTCTCGGACTGGAAGGAGCTCGACCTCATGGTTCTTCACCTCGGTTACGGCTTGCTCCCCGAGAAAGGTCGACCCGTGAGAAACAAAAAATTCGTCTTCATCAGACTCATCCCTGAGCCGAAGAAGTGAGTCAGAATCCGGCACCCGGGAGTTGGTGCTCTTCTTGGGCTTATGAGCCTAGGAAACCGCCCTCTTCTTTGGCTTCACCTTGGGACTCGGGGAGCCCGAAGACTTTTTTTTTCCTCTTCTTCTTATCCCCCGTGGCAGCCCCGGGCTGCCCCATAACGGAGGGATCAATGGACAGGTACATATCCTCATCCCCTTCCAAAGGCCTAAGTTCAGTGGTCTTAGGCAAACCTACGAAAGAAAGAAAAGAGGTTAGTGTTATGTAAGTTAAGTGCATAGTAATAGCTATTCGGGGGAGAACCTTACCATGAGAACGGGCCTTCCATCGGCCCTTCGAAAGCTTGCGTCATGAGCGCTCGAAGCATGACATCTTATTATAGATGCCTTCGATCCACTCCTTGAGTCGGGAGACCGTATTACAAAACCAGGCAAAAGCTGCACAACCACAAGTCTTAATGATTAGAAAGGAAATAAAGAAAAATTGACACTTAAGGAAAGGTTGCACTTCCGAGATGCATTCCACTTCTTGGGGAACAGTAGGAATTCAGGAGGTATCAGATCCTCGATTTTTACCCAAACAAAACGCCCTTGCCAGCCGCGGTCCGAATGCTCAAAAAGGGGGCAGCCAGTGAGCTTGATTAGTCCCCTTGAAAATTCGGGGACTGTATTAACGTAGTAGATGGTCGAGGGTGAACCAAGAAGATTCGGTGTGGTTCACGAAATAACACAGGAGGATCACAATCCTCCAAAGAGATGGGTGGATTTTCCCGAGGCATACCTCATACCTCTTACAGAAGGCCAAAATTACTGGGTCTACCTGGCCCTACATGAAGGGTAAGTGTAAACACTTAAGTACCCCTCCACGTGGGTAGTAATATCATCCTTGAGCCTGGGGACTACTACGTCCTTGCTTTCCCATTTACTTTCCTCTCAGACTACGAGACAGACATCTTCAATAATGGAGCATATGTATCTCCATGCTCCTTCACCCCGGTCCTGTTTGGATGAGGCCTTCTCGACTTTGAAGTCTTCTGCAATTGAGCAACCCCCTGGTATAAAGCTTTTCATGGGGGGCTCGGGGCGGCCTCGGCGGAAGTTGCCTCAGGAGCCGCCACCTCGGGAGCAGCCACTTCGGGCACAGCTGCCTCGGAAGCGGCCACCTCGGTATATTTGACCTGGTGGGAAGATGAAGAGGCAGTCTATTGAGAAAATGATTTGGAAATTTTATCCATTAATATCTGAGAAAATTTTAAAGTTCAAAGAACAAGTATGGAGAATGAAGAAAATAATACAAAAGATCTGGGTAGAAACCTAATAACAACTATGAAGATTTGAAGACCAAAGATGAAAGTATAAAGGTTTGAAAAACTTGACAATTGCTAATAGATTCGAAGGTGGAAGTTTGGATCGGAAAGTAGAAAAAATACAAGGGGCCAAGCTTTTATAGGAGGAAATTTGCGGCTTTCACATTCAAAGGCAACCAGCCGTTGAACGACACGTATCCGAAGTTAGGACGATGCGACTGATGGGACGTTTCGTCTTATTCGCCATCTCAGTTGCAACATGCAAAGGAAGGAACCGGGGTCCATCTATCATTTTCCATCGTTTCGGCAAACTCTCTAGGAAACGAGGGGGCTATTTTATTCGGGTAAAACTAGGGCTAATGAGCACCCCGATTTCCTGGTGGGTAAAAACGAAGCGAGGACATAACTACATAAAATAGGAATCGATGCTAGAAACTTCTCGTACTAAGGCCCGAACAGAGTTCTTGCCACCGGACCCAACAAGACAACAACCTCGAATCTGGTACGAGCTCCAAGACCTCGAAAAGTGCTACACACGGTTGCATACGACTAACAGAGGGCTGTGATATCTGCACCCAACCGGATATCACGGCATCGATCTCACCCGATGTCAGTAGCGTATCAGTAATTAATGTACAAAGAGGATTTTTACCTTTTTTTAGAGTTGTACTAAAGGTAAAATTCCCCTCCTATATAAAGGGAAAGTTTTCTATTCAATAGACACATTGTAACATGCATATCAAGCCAATACAAACTTATTTCTTTGCTTTCTAGCTATTGAAAAATTATAGTTTTGATCACTGTTCTTCATACACATTTGGCTCCGAATCGAGGGTCCGGTCGAGGGCAGAACTATTGTTAAGCTTAAATCCGAGCCTGCACTTAACATCACAACTGGAGACACGACATAAATTTATGTCAGCCAGTGAGACTTGACCATAACAACATTGTGTTGAAAATATCCAGGAATCAAGTTGATACAAATAAAAGTCGTGTGCTAAGGACCATACATGCCAAACATAAAGTAGAATATTTCAAACACTTAACAAATGACATGAACAAATGGAAGCAAATATTTCAAACACTTTGCAGTGAAATGAACAACAATGACCTCCAATATCCAGAACCCACGCCTGATTCATCCACAAGATTCCCTTATACCTACTACTGTATCAACAACACAACTTTCCTTGCTAAATTCTACTATTTCTTCTTAATTAGTTTACTATCAGATTGGTTATTTCCACCACCAGCAGCCTGTGCCGCTTTCCTTGCTGCTTTTTCTTGAAGTGCCTTCGCGTCTCTGTTCAAATCATAAACAAGAATACCCCACGTTAGCTACAATGGATTAAAACAGCTAGAGTTTGTCTGGTAGGACGGAAATTATTTTTCAATATATTCGAGGAAGTTAATTTTCTACAAAATATTTTTCCAGGAAAACATTTTTTTACAAGGAGAAAAACTGGTCTCATATATGGCGGAAAATCATTTTTAAAGACTATTGACTTTTAAACTTCATATTACATACTCCAACAAACACTTAAAACCATTATTATTAATTTTAAAAGTTTCATCAAAACATTATATTATGATTAATTTTTAATATTTACCATGTAAGTTTTCTTTGAGCTCTCAATTAAACATAATGAAATTGAGGGTTGTTTTGGAGGAAAGAAAGAACCTTTCTCGTCTTTGTTCAGGGGTTAATCCATCACCTTTGGGCTGTTTGGGTTTGCTACCTGCCCTGGCTTGTGCCCTTTCACGATCTCTATCTCTCTGATTTCCGCGTTAGCTTGAGTTAAGTCCAAAACAGACAACAATCAGAAACAAAAATGCCATTCTTTGAGCCACAAAAATTCAATCTTTAGCTCCTAACTAAACCAATTATTTGGATACAGAGCCAATTGAGGATATATCTCCAAAAGGGGATTCTCAATTTAAACAAAATTAAATGAAAAAACTTTAATTTTGGATAATTTTTCTCAATTTCTCGGCAATCAAATAGAAGATAATAGAATCTTGTTCATTAAAACAAAGAATCGGATCGATATTAGCGTGATCTGAAATCAGAGAAAAGGAACATATCGTAAGGATATGACTCATTCTCGATTCTGGAACAGCCAAACAAAGATCTAACAATAAATTGCTCTGAACAAGAACCTGGAACCAAAACATAAACAAATATGCAAAATTATCAAAAGAATGATCGAATCATTTAGAAAAAAAAAATCAAAACCCAGGCTTTCTGAGAAAAAGAAAGCTTACCAGATTGAAGGTGGAGATGGGGTTACGTAGAAATTTGGACACAAGGTTTTTGATAGCATATATGGTGTGGGATCCCCTGATTATTTATAAGTGGAAAGGAGAAGACTTGGAAGAATCGAGAAGCCGCAGAAATTCCTTTTTTTTCTCCAACATGTATTTTCACGTTATCGTCCCTGTTTGTTGTAGTTTTTACAATTTAGTCCGAGAGTTCTCAGAAATTCCCCTTCCTTTTTCAACAAACATTTTCACATTAAAGGGTCCCAAATATTTGTTGGTATTATAATTTAGTCCATGTTGTTTATGTATTTCGTATTGGAGAATTGTATCTTGAATATTAGACCCAATAAGTTGTCATGTTGAAAGCTTCAATTCTAGATTTAGTGGAAAAAATTTAGTCCTGCCCGATTCATTGGACCTACCTTCATAGGCGGATTAAGGATTTAACCTTTTACAATTTTAATAAAGGAAAATTACCAACTATGTCACTCTACAAACTTTCCTAACAAAAAATAGCCCAAAACAAAATATCTACTAATAAAGGCACAAATGTCATTTTTGGCCCAAATAGTTTCAAATAATGTCAGTTTCTTTATGTATCCGTTATTATACAAAATCGAGTTCTCTCTCTTTCTCTATATCTCTCACTCTCTCTCTCTCTCTCTCGCTCTTTCTGCGATTTTTTCCTAAATTCAAGCAAAATTGATGAAATTGACGACAAAACAAGATACATTTTCGGTTATTTTCGTCTGATTCCAGGTATTTTGGAGTAGAAAACCTCTTACTTTGTATATTTTTCTGATTGCATGTGTTTTTGTAGAATCGATGTTGCTTTTATTTAGGCTTTTGCGACTGATTTTGTAAGTTTTTGTCGAGTTTTTGTATTAATTTCTTCACAAATTTCTGTAACCTTTTGTTCGTATATTTTTTTAAAAAAATTTGTCATTGAAACTAGTTTCAATTTTGAAACAGAGCAATATGAGAAGACAAACTCGTTCGATGAGTTCATCACCTTATTCAAAGTCTGTTTCAATAGAGAAATTGAGCAACATCAGAAGAGAAACTAGGTCGATGAGTTTATCTCCTCATTCAACCCCGGTTTTAGTTGAGAAATCGATTGATGAACAAAATATGCGAAGTCAAAATCGTTCCGACAGTGTTAAAGTGTTAGAATCTAGAAAGGATATTGTTGGAAAAATTGAGTAAAAGAAGAGCAAGAGAAAACGTGTCGTGGAGGATGAAGTGAATTTGGGTGTCAAACCAAAAAAAACAAGGTTCAGAAGGCAGAAAAAGTTAAAATTCCTGACAAAGTTTGTAAGGTATATACAATTTCAGTTATACTTTTTTCTATTGTTGACTCTTCTTTTAAAATTTGAATTTAGTTTGTATTTGTTTGTTTTTAATTCGTGTCATGTATTTGTAGCCTTGGAAGCTCTATATTCCAGTTGGTGAGCCGTTTCCTGTTACTCATTGGTCATCATACACTAATGTGGACATTGTATCGGTTTTACAGTCAAAGTTGACTGATGTCTAGCTTCGGATGTTTAGGGAAAGCTGTTTTGGCTATTTCCTTGATTTACCTCGAGTTGCTATCCAGGCACAACTTATTCGTTCTTTAATGTTTAGGGAGTTGGTTCAAGATAAGTGTGACCAATTTTATGTGAAATTGAATGACGAATGTGTTTTACGTTTTGGTCTTCGAGAATTTGGTATTGTAAGTGGTTTAAACTGTTGTGGTAATGAACCTGTTGAGGGTAAATTCAGTGGACCCAATAGGTTGGTGGATACTTATTTTTCTGGTTTTGAAGTTGTTTCAAAGAACTCACTTATTGATTGTTTTGAGAAGAAGAAATGGCAGTCTGATGAAGACGCAGTTAAGATTGCAATCATTTATTTCATAAACACATTTCTAATGTCCACTCAGGCTCAGAAGACATTTATATGTAAACGTGATTTCCATCTTGTCGAGAGTGGTGAGTATGTGTCATTTTCATGGGGTAAGATTGCGTTTCGAGCTTTAATGAAGTCGGTGAGGGACAGGTTGAGGGGGAAGTCTGAGTTTTATAGGATTGGTGGATTTCCTCTTGCACTACAGGTGTGGTTCTATGAATGTTGCACTGTAGTTGATCAAAAATTTGATGTTCGCGTTGGAGATCATACACCATGCATATTGAATTGGGAAATGACAGACAGACCAACGCGTGAAGACTTCTCTACTGGTTTCTTCAACAGCACAGGGAATAAGGTACAATCTTTTATGTCTTGATGGGATATACATTTATAATACACTATAATTCATTATGATACATCAAACATACAGTTTTTATACATCTAGGACTGAAGCACTTTTGGTTACCTTTGTAGTTTAAAAATATTTTTCCGACAATTGAAGAGCTCAGAAGATTTACTTTGCCTGTTGAAGTTACCGATGAGTATCAGAAATATTTTACATCACGTAACAGGGGAAAACTTCCTATTGATGATAGCGATGATTTTGTCTCGCCACCCCCGAAACACATTAAGGAGCCTGTCCCACCAAAAAAGGCTCCAAAAAATGTGACAGGCGTCCAACCTGTTGATTATGACCGTGAGTTGCAGAAGTTGAAAGCTGATGTGAAGCAAGTATGTATTGGTCTTTTTTATATATTTTATTGAAATTATTTTTCAAATTGTATATTCAAAGTCTATTATCTTTTTTAATTGTTTCATCTTGTAGCTCCATAAGCAGTTAAATTCCTTCATGGAATATGTTTCTGATAAATTCAAGGAGGTGTTTGAGTTGATAAATTCCAAGGTATGTGTTTCTTTTTCGTTGTGCATTTCTTTTTATTTTTTAGTTAACTTACTATATCCTTTTTTTAAAAATAGCTTGGTGCAAGCGAAGTCAATTATGGTGCACATCCAGAGGAAGACACCAGTGGTCGTCAAGACAATAATGATTTTGTGAGCAATATGGAGTTTGGTGGCAATGAAGATGTTGAAATGGATGGTTGTCAGGTGTGTTTAGTTGTGCATTCTGTACTTTTCCCTTTTCTTTTCTTTGTTGTTTTTGATAATTCGATTCTTTTTTAAAAAAATAGGTTGGTGGAAGTGAATGCAAAGATGTTCCACATTCTCAAAGAGAAACTAATGTAGCAGATCAGTTAGGTGTCAATGCTATGGAAGGACCTTCTGGTGTGAAAGTTGACATATTTGTTGCTAACGTAACTTTCACACCAGATGTAGCACATGCTGGCGGTATTGGTGAGATTGCAGATGCGGTGGCAGGGGAGACGGAGGAAGAATCTGAGAAACAAAAGGTTGTTGAATCCCAGACTGGTGATGTTTGTGCGACTGCAAGTGTTGATGCGGCGCCAAGGGAGACGGAGGAAGAATCTGAGAAATAAAAGGTTCCTGAATCTCGGACTGGTGCTGTTTGTGCGACTGCAAGTGTTGATGACGCGGCAGGGGAGATGGTTCTGTACAATACTGAATTACTTCCTGAAGTATCGCCGCAAATGGAAAAAAGAAAGAGATGTCCTGCAAAGGCCGTGCAGTCTCCGTTCATTACTGTGTTTGATTCAGGTTCCAGTACTGGTGTTGTTGCAGCGAAAGCAAAAAAGCAAATTTATGCTATTAAGCATCCTTTTCAAAGCAAAATCGGAACTGGTGTTAACAGCTCTTTGTTGAATGCTTTTGTTGCGTGGGTCAAAGAAGGGAAGTCCAGAAAGAAGTATGTTTCCAACTTCTGATTTTTTTTCAGTTTTATATTTTAATATATTGTCACTTATAGAATTATTTTATATCAAATCACTGTACTCTTTTGTGTATATATGTTACCAGGAATGAAATTTACCCGAAGCATGTTAGTGAACTCAATCCTGCTTATGATCTTGGTATATTTCATGTTGAAGACAAAAACTGGTTTTACACTTTGGCATATAATGGTCAGCCCTTGGATGACTCGGTATGTAAGAATTTACTTTTGCAGTATTTTTTTTTAAAATTTTAGCCAGTGTACACATGAACACTCAGTCCTGTTAAGTTAGCAGTGAGCATTCATTTTCCTTTGTTTTCTGTGATTTTGGTTTGAAAAACTGTAGCTGCTTAAAGCTTTCGAGTGCGTTTAGTGATTAGTTATTTGTTATGTTTTGTTTCAGCACATTGATGTTTTGTTCTATTATCTGAGGAAGAAGGGGAAGTATGACAAAGACCTACCTGTAACATTCACCACCACAGATTGGTACTTCGACGAGAAAATTAATGAGTTGTGGCAGGCGTTTATTGATACAGATGGAGACAGTGATGTGTGCAATCCGAAACATGTCATTGCAGAGTATATTCAGGGGTTTGTCTTGGATGCCAATGTTCCATGGTACACTGTCGAGCATGTCTTAATGCCAATTAATATTGCAGAACAATGGCATTGGATAATGGCTGTGATGTCCTTCAAGGATAGGTGCATTTATGTGTATGACTCTATGCGCGGTGGAGCTGCTCATCAAGCCAAAGTTCATAAGGCCATGTCCAAGTATTCTGTGTTGCTGCCTCATTTTTTCGTGCACACGCATTTCTATTTAAACAAAAAAGATATCAATTGGCGCACTGGTGTCTACAAATCAAAAGACTTGATTACCCCCTTTGATGTAAAATTGGTTGAAGGATTGCCTCAACAAGTCGAAGCGTATGAATTTCTTTCAACACAATCTGTTTTGCTTTTAGATTCTGCAGTTTGATAGTTGTCGTTCTTTTTATTTTTGCAGTGATTGCGGTGTATTTGCGGCATCATTTGCCGAGTATTTCATTTAGGGCAAGACGCCTCCTAAAAAATTCAATGCCTATGCACACC